TCCCCTCTCTCACTTTTTCTTTTTCTTTTCTGGCCTTTCTCATTTTAATTAAAAAATTATTTAATTTATTTATAAATGTACACGATTTGTAGGAAATATTTTTGGTGCGCCTTGGTTATACGAGTTGTGCATTTTTTTAACTCATTTGTAAATGCTCACATAATGCCTTACTTTCTAAAAAGACATGAAAAAATAACTATTTACTCTTCACGAAACTTATTTTTGGACGGGAAAATCATTGTCTTGCTAATGACCCTTGTTTATCACGGTCTCTTCGACGGTTCAAAACTTGTTTTCATTTATAATTGGTATTGTATATGATAAAAATCGGGTCCATCTGATTTTGCTAATCGAAACAAAGGAGCTGCATCAGGGTAATTTTGTAATGAATCAGATCCGAGCTCGAAAACGAGGCAATCGAGTCCAAAAGATCAAAATGTCCGTCGAGACCGAGGCTAGCGACAATCGAGACTAAGTAAGACCAGCTTCGAGTGGAATGCAATAACGGAAAAATGAGATATCCGTAACCGATCGGAGATCACGGTGGAAATCTCTGAGCAGATCTAATCAAGGGCGGTTATTTGTATCAATCATGGGATTTACTTCCGTAATTAGAATTGTACCACAATTAGGATCACTCTAGTATATAAAGAGGGGTCCTCGTCATTTGTAGACGCCTTACATTCATACTGATCAAAATAATATATTATTTCTTTATTGTCCATTAATTTATTGTTCTTTAACTGTTATTGCTTTACAACTCTCGAGGGTTCATTAGCTCGAGAACGCTGTTCAAACACTGGTTTGTTTTATATTCTTGTCAATTCTATCACTTATCTCTAGATTAATCGGTTGGTATTAAGTGAAATTATGTATCCTTAAAACCACATTACAAGTTTAATTGTTGCTCGATATTTAGGGTAAACAGATATTTTAAGGGGAAGAAACTATCAAATCATTTCAAAGTTTATCATTATCTCTAGTATCATACATATTTAAGTCGTCTTATAATAATACAAATAACTCTTTTATCTTCTTTTTCCTTGGAACAGGTTGTGAGTTCGAGTCTCCCCAAGAGCAAGGTGAGAAGTTCTTGGAAGGAAGAATGTCGGGGGTCTATTTGAAAACAGTCTCTCTACCCTAGGGTAGGGGTAAGGTCTGCGTACACACTACCCTCCCTAGACCCCAGTAAGTGAAATTATTATGGGTTGTTGTTGTTGTTGTTGTATCCTACAACATGCAACAAAAGGACTTTCGAACCAAAAGGATTAAAAAACAGGTCATGTGCTGATCGAGCACAAAACTATCATTGTCCAAAATCTGATAGACTTGGAGCCCATTTGGCCAAGCTGCCAAAATATGCTTATTTTAAAAAATATTTTTTTTAAAAAGTACTTCTAAAAAAACAGTTTGTGTTTGGACAATTCATTTTAGAAGTACTTTTTGTAACATTTGATAAACAAATTGTGTTTGATCAGTCTTTCTAAAAAAAGCTTTTGAGTGTCAACTTACCAAAAAGGATAGTACCAAGGTCTTAGAGTAGTACCAAGGTCTTATAGTTATTTTAAAGAAAAAAATGAACTTAAATATTTATTGTAAAAGATTTTTATTATTTTTTATTTTGTTTAATTAAAATATAAAGTAAACAAATATAATAAAGATTTAACTCAATTTTACATATATAGTTAAACCAAAGTTCATAATATTATCTAGTATAATTACTTATTGTTACACATTAATTTGAATAATCAAAAATACATCATTTCGCACGAATTAGAAGTCTATTCCACAAATTACTATATACTTATAATCTACCATGAAATAATAAGTAAACTCACTCACACATGATAATATTTTCCAATAATTTCATCTCTGCTTCTATCACACAATGCCTCCATATTAGTAGTATATTTGCCTTGCATTTCTAAAGGAATATCAGAAGACTCATCTCCTTCCTCAATCTTTGCAGTAATGTTTTCGTTAGCATAATAGTTGAATTCCTTATCGGTAGAAGAATCTCGTCGAATGAAATTATGTATAGTCATGGTAGTTGTAACTAGATGATTCTGAGTGACAAACTTGAAATATGGCATTGAGCGTAAAATAAAAATAATTTTAAAGAGTAACTAATTATTAGCAACACATAACGTATAGTTTAATTTTTTTAAAATTTAATTAGAAACTAATTATTACCTAACCTAACCAGCTTTGTCGTAAATTGCCTAGCTGCCTATTGTGAGACTGCCACTTGACTTAATGTGGATGTTTTTTCTTCATCTTTTAATAATATATAGATAGATTATGCGATAAAATTGTAAATTTATTACCTATTGGTAGGTACTTTTCATAAATTAAATTTGCTAACTGTTTTAAAGATTCGAGAACTAATAGCCTATAACAGAAGAAATTATAAATAATTATTTGTAAGATGAGAATTGATAATCCAAAGAAGGTGGTAGATAATTTGTTTTAGTGTGAAGAAAGAAGAAGATAATTTGAAAAGTTACAAGACATTACACCAAAAAAAAAAAAAAAAAAAACAAGAAAAGTCAATAAAGAATTTGGAAAATTACAATATGATTCATGTATATGATATCTTTAAATTTAATAGAATGATAAAATCAGAAACAAATATGAAAAGAAAACTTAAATTAGTAAACGATAATTTGAAAAGTANAAGTCAATAAAGAATTTGAAAAGTTACAATATGATTCACGTATATGATATCTTTAAGTTTAAGAGAATGATAAAAATCGGAAACAAATATGAAAAAAAACTTAAATTAGTAAGGTATAATTTGAAAAGTATAAATTTTAAGGTAATGATAGTTTTATCTTAAATAAATTAATTTTCCGCTTCTTCTCAAAAGCAGAAAAACTGCTTCTGTTGCTGGTCAAAAGTATTTTTTTATCTTGGCCAAAAAGTTTAAAATTTTTTAAAAGTCTTTTGGTCTCCAAAAAGCTTGGCCACACGCTCTTAAGAGAATAGCGTGTGTTAATTTTTATTGCTTTCTTCAGAAAGTTAGAGTATTATGTACATTTTCAAAATAAGTAGGCAAAAAAAAATTTAATAATAATGCAAGAACTCGACAAACCTACACAAAGACTGTAAATTTCCGAAGTAGGACAAAATGCATAACCTCTGTAAATTACGTTCTTTAATTGTCATTTTGCCAATAGATTTTTCCTTTCCATAGAGATATCTCAATTCTCAAGTAAATGCATTTCTCTTGTATTTTACCTTTTTACCCTTGTCTCTACGAAGAAAGGTAAATATTTTACTGTTTCCTTTGATTTACTATCAATATTTCTGTCGGAGCACACAGAAATGAAACTCGAGATATATATTCAGATTAAAGCAAAATAACAAGAAGCCCACCCCCATGCAAAGCTGCAATATTCAAAAATCCCTGCTATTTGTCAAGGTTAGTTTTCTGGGCAAAAGGCATTGTAGTAAAAAGAAAAAGTAAAAAGGTAAAAAGGGTTGATTTGGAACCGAGAATGGTACAATCAAAGAACTTGTCCAGGCATTTTCCAAAAAGTTTAACAGACATACAGTGGTCTCTGAAGATGGTGGGCTAAATGAAGTGTCATAATATGTGTAACAAGCATTTATGGTATGGCAGAGTATGTACAAGGTCGTCATAAAGGTTCACTTTCACCAGTGCTGTCCTAAAACTCAATCAATTGCTCCATCCTTGTTTTTGCCCCTTTCATACCCTCCAATCAAACTGCTTCAATAGCAATCCTAACTTGGGTTCTAATTTTATCCTATTATAGAAAACACTAATGTTAAGAAACTAAAGTCACTAGAAATTAAGATAATCTATCTCAAAAGAGAAATTTGTCCCTCATATGGTGTGAATGGTATAGAGGAAAATTTCTAACTTTCCCATATTTGTTGAGTAAAGCATTTTCTATATTTTCTATAAAGACTCATTAACTACTAATTTCAGAAATGACTTCTCTATCAATAAGAAAAGATAAAATATTTTTCAAAACTCTTTTTCAACAATTCCTATCTCAATCAGGGGCGGACCCACGTGTAAGGTCCTGGGTGTTGCAGCACCCACTGACTCCGACGAGGACTTGGTATACTAATATAGAAATTTTATGAAAACTGATATAATATATTAGCAAGCACCCATTAACTAAAAAGTCTAATGAGTGCTTTGGTTTGTAGTCTGAAGTTTGGGCGTTTGGAAACCTTTACGTCGCGAGATCAAAATTGAGGAAAAGGAGAAAAAGAATTCTCCATTAGTTAAAATATTGGTAGGCTTTCAAAAGCTACCAAACCAAAATATTAAAACAGCTCTCGGGCATCGCCTTCTCTAGTTCTTCTTGTAGGTTTCGCAATTCACAGGTTACAAAGTGAACAACAAGTTTTCTTGACCTCCCCATCTCAAAATTAAAACACAAGGAACAAGGTAATAAAATTTGGTATTTTGATTTAAGCTAGAGATTTTGGGTATAAATAGCAATATTCTATCGAAGATATTGGGTTTTACAAATTACAATTCTTATTATCTATGCTTTGTAAAATAAATTCAGCAATTTTTTTTATGAATACACCCACTGATTATAATTATTTTGTGGAAAATAAACAATAGTTATGTTTACTTGTCAAAAAGTGAAAAATAAATTTATCTCTATTTCTGACTTAATTTCAAAACTGATTTTCTTGGGGATAAATGTAGGTTATTAGCATCAGTTTGTGCGATTGATGAATATATTCTCATTGGCTCGTTCCTTCAAAAAATTTTAAGTTTTCATCTTATCTTCTGAAAGAATAAATATTTCTAATGTTTTTAGTGATAATGAAGTGTGATCAATTTTTCGGTGCAATGTGGTAAAATATGTTGTTATTGCTTTATTATTTGTATTGTTATAGAGGGGCATGAGTTCCCCAATAGGATTTAGTTGAATTATAATTGAATTATAGTTGAATTTTAAATTGAATCTTATTCTGTAGGAATATTTCATCAAGCTTTGTGAATTGAGATGGATAGGTTTGTCACAAGAACGAATATTGGGCAATCAAGTTCTAGTTCTACTAATTCATCTATTGCTTCAGCCATAGCTCCGAAAATTCAGAGGGACATATTTCTTTCTGATCTTGATTTAGAATCTCTCAACGTTGATCCGGGAGATAGAAAGACTATTATAGAATACAACCCTAATATACCTGATAAAGTTAGAAGACATTATATTCAAAAAAAAACTTGTCAGCCTGCGAATCATGATTTTCCTAAAACTAAGTTTGGAAGATAATGCGTCAGTTTTGTCCTGGTTGGTTTAAGGGTCAACATTCTAAGTGGTTGGAGTACAGTATATCAAAAGATGCTGCATATTGTTTGTGTTGTTATTTGTTCAAAAATGAACATGAAAGTCATGGAAATACGGGAGATGCTTTTACAAAAAATGGTTTTAAAGCTTGGAACAAGGCTATTGAAAGATTTAAAGCTCATGTTGGAGAAGTAAATAGCATTCACAACAAGTGTTTCAATAGTATGCTTGATTTAATGAATCAATTCACACTTCTTTTGACAAACAATCCGAGAAAGAAAAAAGTGAGTCTCGACGTCGCTTAAGTGCTTCAATCGATGTGGCAAGATTTCTTTTGAGACTAGGTTTGCCATTTCGTGGGCATGATGAGAGTCAATCTTCTACAAATAGAGGTATTTTTCTTGAGCTTTTGCAATGGTATGGGGATATTAATCGGGATGTTGGAAGCATTATATTAGAAAATGCTCCAAGAAATGAAATGATGTGTTCTCTAAGTATTCAAAAAGATATTGTTGATGCTTGTTCTAAAGAAACAATCAAAGCTATCATTGAAGACATGAATGGGAATTTTTTTGGGATACTAGTTGATGAATCAAAAGATATATCACACAAGGAGCAAATGGCACTTGTTTTGAGATATGTTAACAAAGAAGGCGAAGTCATAGAGAGATTCGTTGGCATTGTTCCTGTTAGTAACACATCGGCTATGTCATTAAAAAGGGCAATCTGTTCTTTTCTTTCTGATCACTCATTAAGTCCAACGCAAATACGTGGGCAAGGTTATGATGGGGCTAGTAACATGCAGGGAGAGCTAAATGGTATTAAGACTTTAATTTTGAATGAGTCTCCATCAGCATATTGCATTCACTGTTTCGCTCACCAATTGCAATTAACACTTGTGGCTCTTGCAAAGAAGCATTCAGATGTAGATGACTTTTTTTTTGTATAGTTACTAATGTCTTAAATATTGTTGGAGAATCTTTTAAGCGCAGTGATTTGCTTCGAGAACATCAAGCTGAAAAGTTAGAAGAGTTGCTCAAATCAGGTGAAGTGCATACTGAACGAGGATTAAATCAAGAGTGTGGGCTTCAACGACTAGGTGATACTCGTTGGGGTTCTCATTATAAGACGTTGGATAACCTTATTGTCCTATTTCCATTGATTATTCATGTTCTTGAATTTACTACACGTGAGTGTCCAAACTATGCTGACAAAATTGTTGCTGAAAGACTTATGGGTAAGATTAAGGAATTTGATTTTGCTTTTATGTTGCACTTGATGTTAAATTTTAACAATGACAAATGAGTTGAGTTGTGCGTTACAAAGGATGGATCAAGATATTGTCAATGCTATGGGACTCCTTGCTCTTACAAAGCAACGATTACAAACGATGAAGAAGAGTGGATTTGGATCTTTAATGGAAAATGTCTCTTCTTTTTGTGATAAACATGATATAATGATTCCAAATATGGACGCTCGCTGCTTTCCTGGGAAGTGGAAGCATAGGGCTCTTGATGTTACATATTCTCATCATTTGCGTGTCGATATTTTTTATACTGTTATAGATTTACATTTTCAAGAGCTTAATCGTCGCTTTAATGCTGTGAGTACTGACTTACTCCTCGGTATGGCTAGCTTCAATCCCGTTAATTCATTTGGTAATTTTGATAAGAACAGAATAATGAGGTTTGGCCGAATATTCTCCGAATAAGTTTGATAGCAACCAGCTTCGAGATCTCAGTTATCAGCTTGATAGTTTTATACTTTATGCCCGTGGTGTTGACAAGAGGTTATTTGGCTTGAAGGGAATTAGTGATCTTGCTAAAGTGTTGGTTAAGTCAGATCTGCATCAAGCTTGGCCACTTGTTTATTTGCTAATCAAGTTGACTCTCATTCTTCCTGTTGCTACAGCTTCTGTGGAATGAGCTTTCTCATCCATGAGCTATATCAAAAGTGAACTTCGTAACAACATCAGTGATAAATTTTTAAATAGTTGTTTAGTTTGCTATGTAGAGCGTAAGATATTTACAAGTGTTAGCAATGACGCTATTATTCATCGTTTTCAACATATGAAAAGTCGTCGAGCACAGTTGTGAGTTGTGACTAGGGAAGTCCTTTTTTTGTAATGATAACATATTAACATTATTATCTGAATCGTGGCTAGAAGTCATTTTTGATAATGACAATAGTAATCGTGTTTTCTCATTAATTGTTTTCATCGCTCCGTTCGAATAAATTACGCTTATATTATGTGATTGATAGCACTTTTATATTAAAAGAAAGTGAGCACTCACGACCTTAAAATCCTGGATCCGCCACTGATCTCAACCATCCCAAATCCACCCTCGAACTATTCCCACCTCTGGACCTATCATGTCCACCTCCACCCACCCTCACCTTCGACACTCTTGTAGCCTCTACTCTCAGTACCCCACCCCAACCCATCTCCTCGCCGGGTCTCCCCTGTCGTCGGCCCCACCTCCAAACCCATCCTTGGCCTACCTTGCTTACCCGGATCTATCCTTGTCCACTACCTACTCCTACTGCCTCTCTTGCCCCTGTGACGATCCAATTCTGATCAAGACTCGATGATACCTAACCCGACCTGCTAGGCGAATAAATCAATATAAATACAACTCAAGGTGAAGATCATCATATAAATAATAAAGTTAAAATACGAGATTAATTCAACTACCCCAAAAACTAGTGGCATATGTTATGAACATTAAAAATAAGAATACGACGCTAATATACAAAATACAATATCTGCTTGAAAAGTACAAAACAAAAACATAAGGTCCTAACTACCATAAATATAATGGCACTCACAATTGTAGCGATGATATATCTTCAATACTCGCTCTCTAGCTTCTGACCCACTACTAGAAAATGACAGAATTCCGATCGTCAAAACGGTCGGGAATCGGTCGAAAATCATGAATTTTCGACTACTTTCCGACCGAAATTAGTCGATCGGAAAATAGTTGGTCGGAAATCAATTTCCGATCGAATCCGTCGGTGATTTCCGACCAAAGTTGTTGGAACATTCAAAAGGCCAAACGACCAAATATTCTCAAATTTCCGACCAAAGTGGTCGGAATTTACTGACCGAATCAATCGTAATAATATAATTAAAAATAATTATTTATTTATAATTAAATAATATATATATATATATATATATATATATATATATATATATATATATATATATATATATATATATATAATTTCCGACCAAATCGGTCAGAAATTAATAATTAAAAAATAAATTTAATTTAATTTCCGACGGAATCTGTCGAAAACGGTTAAATATTAATTATTTTTTTAAAACAATCTGGGCAGCTGTCCGGCTGTTTCCGTCGGAAATCAGTTGGAATTTTCTGTAAAAATGGGCAGAACCACCTGTCAAACTATTACAATACAATAACGCCAATAATACCAACCATTAACACAATCTAAACCAACAATATCAATCATTAACACAATCTAAACCAATAATACCAATCATTAGTACAACTTTAACCAATAATACCAACCATTAAACCTAACAATTTTGGGCATAAAAACATCCAAATAGTAGCCCACATTCATGTTTAAAAACAAAACATAAAGTTGTCTCTCACAATCAAGTTTACAAATCAACTAAAACATCACACCTAAACTACTGCACAATAGATTCAGTTTGTTCATCCTCATCATCAGATAGATCATACCCATGTTTTCTCATGAGTTTTTGCATCTTAACAAATATTCCGAATTGGGAGCCTAATTGTTGCTTCAAATCACGAATTTCTTTTCACATATCTTCCATATGTTCTTGATTTTGAGAAGAAGAAGAATTGACTAAGAGTGGGTTTGGATTACCTGTAGGTCGACGTACTCCAAGTCTGTAGACTCTGCCTTTGTTTACTCTACCTGCTGCCTCTGTACACAATGAAGCCATATCATCAGGTGTTGGTTGAATTGACGGAGGCTGAGTTTGTTGTCATTCTTCCACCTTTTTATGATAATTTTCCTGAAATGAAAACATAACTATTATGTAAACAAACTAATATTAATAAACCATAAATAATCATGAAGTTAGTATTTTACATATGTGTCTGTCGCATGCGTACCCAACCAGTGTTCTTTTGTACCATCCTTCTTCTTTTTCTTATGTGTCTCCTCAAAGACCTCAACGTGACTCATATCTTGCCCTCCTTCCTTTTCTTTCATAACAAAAAGTATGAGTTAGACATTACAAACATAAAATTCTATATGTAAAACTAAGAAATTTTTTATAAGTAGTTACCAAGCTGCAAATACTATTTATTTTATTTTGATGTTGAGGATACCATGTACACTTTGTCTGCAATATAAAAAAGTAACATTAGATGAAAACGATAATCATTTAAATAAATATAATCAATTTTTACCCTAAATTGATTCCACATTTGCTCTCTGATATTGTATGGTATCTGTCTCCACGAATTCCACGGCTCAAGATAAAATGGCTTCATAGAATCCACAACCAAATGTGTAGACTAAAAGAATGAAAAAAGCCTGCATTAAAGTTAACATATATATAACTAATAAATATCAAATAAATTCAAATATTTGGGATCTACAATAACAATTATGCAAAAACAAAAATCGACTAATCTGCAATAACAATTTAATAATTTAATGGATGAAACTGATAATAGATTTCAATTAAGCTTAATTCCATGAAAGTCAAAAGATATTTAAAAAGTTAGGAGTAAGACATATTGTCAAAAGTAGTCAACTAGCACTAAGAGTTTTATTATATTCTTTATACTTTCTCCTCTTAAAATTAGTACCCTCCCCAATATAATCTAATGAGATGAATTGCTATATATGTAACAACTTTACAAATTAGTTAGCAAAATTATTTAGTAAAATTATCCCCAACTTGGTAATGTTATCCCCAAATTAGTATGTAGTTTACCAACATATAACTTTAACATATAAATTTAATTTACCATTATATGACTCTAAATTACCAACATATAACTTTAACATATAAGTTTAACATATAACCCTAAGTTACCAGCATATAAGTTTAACATATAACTCTAAATTACCAACATATAACTTTAATTTAACTATTAACAATAGTCATAGATTTACTTTAGCTAGCACCAATCAATTTTTACAAACCAAACTAGGAGCAATTAAACAAAATTAGTGTAGTTTTTTTAATAAAAATAACAAAGGAGGGTGAGGGAAACTTACCTGGCAGTGGAGGGTCGTCGACGGACCTGCAGCTGGGCGGCGGCGAGTGCTGCTGGTTGATGGCAGCGGCGAGTTTGGGTGGGGGAAGTTTGAGTGAGAGAGAGAGAAGACAGAAGGAAGAAAAGAGGGAATGGAAAAGAATGGGGTCGCTGGAGGGTTTTTTAAAAAACTTTCCGACCGATTTGGTCGGAAATTTGGTCAAAGTAGTCAACCCTCGTTTTACTAAAAAATTCCGACCGAATCGGTTGCTACTTTTTATTTTTTTAAATTTTTTTAATTGTTTCCGACCGAATTGGTCGCTAATAGTGACGCGGAATTTTCCACCAAAATTTACGACGAATAGAGACGGAATATTAGTCGTAACTATTATTAAAAAATGAAAAAAATATTTTTATGCATTTTCCGACCGATTCTGTCTGAAATTTCCGACTACTTTTTTCCGTCAGAATATTTCGGTCGGAAATGGGCCGTTTTGTAGTAGTGACCACTCAACTCCAGTACTACACACAAGGTGCAAAAGTATAGTATGAGTACAACGGTATAATACTTAATGAATATTACTGGCTACTTTTTTCGGCAAAGTTTTGCGAGAATTTAGTAAAAAATACTCTATTTATTAACCTGTGCAGTTCATATACGTGACAACAACATGAAAAATACCCAGAAGCTAACAAGCTAATCATAGTCAAAGCATATAACAATATATATACATGGAACATATGACATAAAATAACCTATTATAACTAACAAGTCTAATGCATGTATCGATGCTTCCAAAGTAGAATATATAATCATATCCAGAATCTAGCATATAACATAATGCATGCCTTCTCCGCTAACAAGCCCAATGCATGTATAAAGAGTATCAAAATAGCATATATAGGTGATATGCGTAGTCTAGCACTTAACAATGTGCATGCTTTCTCCATTAACAAGCCTAATGCATGCATAGAATGCATCAAAATAATGTAGCGAAATACATAAAGCGCTAGTTTAAGTTGTCCTCAACGATCAACTGAACACCTCAACCGAGCCATTTTTCATTTTAACACTTTAAGTGGCTATTA